GGCGATGTAAAGGATAACCCTTAATTAATTTACCCGATTCCAGCACCGATGTACTTCGGTGCTTGCTCACACTCTGCCCCCTTGCGAGGTCAGCTGATGCGGGGGACCTAATGCGTGCGAGCATAAGGCCTTCCTCATTGGAAGCACTGCCTCAATGCATTCTTTTGGGGTTTTCCTAAATGCTGGAAGTCCAGACAGCCACTAGAGTCGTGAAAGGTAATTATTGCAGTTTATTTAAAACTACAAGGTTTTACACTGCAGAACTTAAGGGGCACAGGTACACTGCACTCAGGCAACTTCAATGAGCTGAAGTGGTCTGGGTGCCTATAGTGTCCCTTTTAAGGGATCCTTACAAATTCTGAAAGAATACCACTGCCCAGTCCTCCTAGTGGTCACATATACTACTTTTAAACAGCACTGAGGATCTCCAGAGGCACTCAGCATTTGTGAAACACTTGTCAGGGATGAATTTTCAATTACTAAAGACTAGTTGGCGACTGGACGTTTTGATCCCTGAAACAGGGGATTAGCTCCTGTCTGCAATGTGCATCTAAATTCCTTGAAATATATGTAAGATTCTATCATAGCACTCATATTTGTTCTATACACAATGCAATACATCCAGGTTTTCCCCCTTCTTTGTCAAACTACTTACATATAAAGGAAACCTATAGACCTGAAAAAAATAATTTTGCTATGAGAAAAAACTAAGTTTAATAAGGGTTACTTGCCCCCATTCCAGCATTTCCTCCTCCATTACAGCCACCCATTCCGCCTTCACAACAGCATGCTAACGTCTTCCGCGATCACTTCCAATACAATTCTTCTCACGGAGAAGCAGTGGATTGAAAATGTGCATGCGCAACAAAACGCTGTACTCCATTCTGTGAACCAGGCTTCCTTAAACTCTGGTCCTCCAGATGTTGCGGAACTACAACTCCCATGATTCTGTGAATGAAATAGATAGGCTGAGAATCATGGGAGTTGTAGTTCAGCAACATCTGGAGGGCCGGAGTTTGGGGAAGCCTGCTGTAAACATTTAGATTACAATTGTTACTAGAGAATGAAAGACAGTTTAAAAAAAAAATCACTTTGTGATGCTGCATGTTCCTATTAAATTCCTGCATTCACGTAATCCGGTAATAGAAGATTATTTACTAAAAGAGAAAATTGCCAGGAATTCAAAGTGAATTTCTAATTGAAGACCAAGATAGCCGAACTAGAAAAAAATCTCCACATCAGCTATGCCTCCAGTTTGGCTACTCTAGCCTAAATGGAACATTATAGGGTCAGAAATACAAAAGCTAAAAATACATGTTAGATGCCTGCCCCCCCTTTAACCCTTAAATAGGGTTAAAACCCACCTTATTTCCAATGCCGCACAGGTTCACCAGTGCTGGCTCCGCCCCCTTCCATCTCCTTGGCTGAGATCATCAAAATGGACTATCTCAGCCAATCCTGTCCTTTCCTATAGGAAAGCATTGGGAGGCCAATTTGCACGTGTGGCATGATATAATTATTTCTCTGCAAAGGCAGTGTTTACATTTGAAATATGTCCTCCCTCCACTTTTCTAGTAGTGCATATGTAGTTTTGCAAATTTCTCTAAGTACCTTGTACTACTCAGAGGCCATTATGTGCTGTAAAGGCACAAGCTAAGTAGCATAACCAGCACAACTTCAGGCAAAGTACCACAGTTCAATCTTAAACTGTTTAGAATGATTTGATAAAAACTATGGCCTTTCCTGGCTCCCAGTGACAGCCCCTTGCACCACATTGATAATGTTTAGTTAAAGGGACACTATCATCACCAAGACCAGTTAATTCTAATAAAGTGGTTTGGGTGCCGTGGTCCCGTCCTTCCATTGCAGGATTAACACACATCTAGTGGTGGTCAGTATAACAGCCACTAGAGGGACTTCCGCTGCACCGACCGACTCCTATAGTAAAGCATTAATTGACTGGTTTCCTATGGGGAAGTTTGGATGCTCACACGGAGCTTGTTGCGCATGCTCATTAAGTCCCCAATGCTCCTTGGACAAAGTGGGAGGTGGAGAGGCTTCGATGCTGGAAGATGACGCAGGAGGAATAGAGGCCTCGGAAATGGAAAAAGATGATTAAAACTTAGATTTTTTTAAAATTTCAATGCACATGTGGGAAACCTTTATACAAGTAGGGGGAGGGACACAAGCATTAAAAATACAGCTTTGAACATTCTTCGCTAAATTTCCTGTCAAATTTGAAAGAATATGTTTTATACCCAACCTCCTATAGACTGTTAGCTCGTTTGAGCAGGGTTCTCTTCAACCTATTGTTCCTGTAAGTTTTCCTGTAATTGTCCTATTTATAGTTAAATCCCCCCCCTCTCACAATATTGTAAAGCGCTACGGAATATGTTGGCGCTATATAAATAGCGAGAATAATAATATATTGAATATATATCTGTACTATGTTCACCACATACTAAATGGCTAAATAATTAATAATCTATTCTTAAACATTAAAAAGTAAGGGGTTTACTCATTTAGCAATAAATGGTAATAAACCTTAAAACAAACTGCAAACGTTTGGCTAAAAAAACGCACTGTGACTAATGCTGAGTTGGACAATTTTCCATGATTATTTCCCAAACTTTTGTCTTTGACTACACCTGATACCAAGCACAGGTTCTAAGTATCTGAAAGTTATTTTATCTCTTACTTGCTCTAAACATGTGTAGGCAGAGGTCCAAGTACCATATTGGTGTGATACCATCTAGCCACGTTGGGGTATCCCTGGTGGTAGTTCATAGTACATCTTCCTTTTTAGTGGGGTGACATTTCTAGCAGACTGCCCACTGAATCCTACCCAACCGAAGATCATCCTCTGGGTCTTCACGTAGAAGCCTAGAAAAAGAGTCCAAATTCATTGTCATCAATTTGACCAATGACTTACCCCTTTCAAATTTGTTGACCAAGTCCTTGTATGTCTTGGCTAAGCCAACACTGTGGCGAAACCAGCCTCGCCACTGTCCACTGGAGGAGCCTGGTTGCTCGCCTGCTCCCTTTAGACTATGGCCCGGCAGTTAAAACCTTTTATTTTCCCTGCAAAGTATTCATGCCTTTCTGTAGACTGTTAAAGCCATGCTACCCCAGATAGCTATGCCATGGAGCCCAGCCGTATACTGAAAGACTGTATGAAAGACTTTGGCTCCATGGCGATTGAACTGTATTTATGTGATCTGAGCGCCATTCGGTAGTAATGTGCACTCAGATCTAAGCTATCTGGGGATATGTAGAATGTCTATGTTTTATGGAATAAATGTAACTGTATGTAATTTTATGTCTTTTATTGTATTGTTACTGCCATGTGGTTAATGGAGTCTTGCCTCTGTCCTGGGAGATAATTGGATTACTTCACAGTTATCTCCTGGACAGAGAGGAGGGATTGTGATGTAAATGTGGGTGTGTTTTATGGTTCCCCTGTAATGATTGGTTGTATTGTGTCCCACCCTGTGGGATGTCCCCTTGCATGGGGACTTGCATAAAAGCCAGTGTGTGGCCATTACAGAGAGTTCCTGCTTAACCCTCAAAGTGAAGTGTCGTCTCATTATTGGGGGAAGGATTTATTGTATGCTGTTCCAGTTTGACTGCTAGGAGAGTAAACCTATTCGTATGGTTCCTATTCAACTGTCTACAGCATTCATATGCTTGAGAGGATTCCTATGCTTCTCCGGTTCGGTGGTTGTGGTGTCTGCTGCAGTGCTTGGAGACCTCAGGAAGCGCTAGGAGCATCCTTCAACGGAGGTTACCCAGTCGGGGTGCCAGGCAATCCGTTACAAACACATTTTGCAAATCTACTATTCCCAACCTGTCATCAAGCATTCATATGAGATAGTACAACTTGTTTCCTCAAATAACTAATCTATTCTGTAACGGAGCTGAGGATATGTCCCGTCATTGAGCCTCTCCATCTTCCTGTGGGTCTGAGTAGGAATCCCCATTTCACAGAAGTTATGAGAGAATTGTGTTCTGCTATATCAGGTTATGGCCCATTTCTCAGCCTAAGGCACCTTTTTCTCTCCATTTCACTAGGCGATCCATTTTCTAAAATTTTAAAAACTCCTAGGATCCTTCATAGAACTGTTGTGCTGATACCTTGATACAATTAGGTGCTCTAGAATTCGGAAAATTGTAGATGCTTCAAAAAGGTTTAGCTCAATCTTGCAGATAATATGCCATAGCTTCTATGAACCTTCAGACATATTTCTCTGGCGCATAACTCACCCTCACCCCATCGTCCTTTGTAAAATCAGTTTGTACCAATCATATGATATTTTGCCATCTGTAACCATTAAATAGTTTTTAAAAATCAGCGTTTTTACTTGAACTGCTGACATGAAGTTGCTTTGGCAACACATGGGTAAATCCTGCAACATTTCCAATGTACTCCTTGCCTTCTCATCATGGCCACTGCATGCAATGCTCCATTTTATCTGACTGCCTGTATTATTTTGTCTGTCAATGACATGTAATTGTATTATCTCAATGTATATCTGTGAAGTAGTGAGGAATTTGCTGGTGGTCTAAAAAAAAATTAAAAAAATTAAAATTGCTAAAATTAATAATATGATTGGAATAGGTGCCAGCTATCCAAATCCTGATTAAAAAGAAAGGGGCATAATGAAGACCTGTAGCTGATAGCCCCATAATGGCCATTAAGCCAGGATTTATTGATGCCCTCTGTGCCATGCCCCATGCCCACCTGCCCATTACCCCCTGGCAATCCCTGTCTCCATCCAGCCCTTTAAACCTGCTCACCATGCTCTGGATGACATCATCCCTTACATTATGTCCCGCCCCACTCGGCCACTGATTGGTGGAAAGACCCTCCCTTCACACCTCTCCCACTGTTGGTTGCTCGAGACGTCAGTCAAGGCTGGTAAACCCGCCTCTAAAGGTACCAGGGGCGTGGCCGGTGCTGTAGTCGCGCGGTGATTGGCGGGCGAGGCTGCCTGTCTCCCCCTGAGAGGCGTGGTTTTCTGCTGAAGGGCTGGTGCTCGGGGTGATTTAGCGCTGGGAGGAGCGGGGGGTCCTGGGGATGCTGAGCCGAGGATGGGGATCACAGGCACCGGCTCTCCTTCCCCTATCGCCGGCTACTCGGACTGCCGCAGGGCGGCCACAGCGACCATAGCACTGAGACAGCTCTGAGGGAAAAGAGACAGCCAGACCTGAGACAGCTCTGAGGGAAAAGAGACAGCCAGACCTGAGACAGCTCTGAGGGAAAAGAGACAGCCAGACCTGAGAGTGCTCTGAGGAAAAAAGAGACAGACAGAGACAGCTCTGAGGAAAAAGAGACAGACAGAGACTGCTGTGAGGGAAAAGAGACAGCCAGACCTGAGAGTGCTCTGAGGGAAAAGAGACAGCCAGAGCAGAGAGTGCTGTGAGGGAAAAGAGACAGAGCAGAGACTGTTGTGAGGGAAAAGAGACAACCAGAGCAGAGAGTGCTCTAAGGAAAAAAAGAGACAGACAGAGCACAGAGTGCTGTGAGGAGAAAAGAGACAGACAGAGCAGAGAGTGCTGTGAGGGAAAGGAGTGCCCTGAGAGGTGGAACGAGACCTCTGGGGACTGAGGGCAAGAGACACCTCTGAGAGACATAAAACAACTGTGGGTGAGAGATTAGACAGCTTTGCGGGAGAAGAGACAGCTGAATGACCAAGGAGAGGCACCTAGGGACTTAGAGAAAAGAGACAGTCAGAGTCTGGAGGGAAAAGACAGCTAGTGAGTAGGGACAGCTCCTGGTGGGGAACTGGGACTGAGAGACAAGAGAGGTCTGGAAGCCAGTAGAGACAGCTCTGACTGAAGAGACAGATCTGGCTGCTCGGAAACATAAGGATAGACTGCCAAGGCTCATAGAGGAAAAGGAGACGTCTCTGACTGAGAAGGCAGGGAGAGAAAAGAGACACTTGGGTGAGGAGAGTGGAGAGCTTGATGCTGAGGGAGAGGCACACATTGACAGCTTGGGAGACAGCTTGTACTGACAGAAAATTAGGGTGGGGAGAGAGGGGAGACAGCTAGGCACTGTAGGGAGGGTAGAAGAGACATCCAAAAAAGGAGGGTATAACAAGAGACTGTAAGTGTTTAGGGCTCAGAAAGGGAGCCAGGAGGGGAGGGAGGGGTATAGGTTAGGGCACATTCTAATTAAGGTAGTCAAGTTCAAGGAGAAGAGTCAAGGGGAGAAGAGACAGCAAGGGCTGGGGTGACAGAGAAAGAGACATTCGTATGGATGGCTGCCTGGAGACAGCGCTGAGAAAGGGGGTAAGAGCTGCTAGTGAGGGTTGAATATATCCTCCCTGGCCCAGGAGTATCAGGAGAGACATTGTTAGAGGTACATGAAGAGACAGCTGCACCTCTATCCCCACATCATAGACTGTCAGAGGTGTCAAGAGACAGTGGAGGATGTCCCTTTCTAGAGGAGGTAAGAGGAGGGGATGGGTGTGGGTATTATTGACTGTTTTATCTTAGACCCTCACCCCTTGCACCTGTGCCCTGTGATTTTAATATCCCCTCCTTGTGCATCCTGTGAGCATCACAGCTGATCCATTCCTTTCCCCTTTAGCAGTACTGGGTACCACTCCATCCCAGCCTTATCTCAGCAGCATCCCTCTGTACTACCCCTGGACCATATCTGGGTTACCCATCCCACCTCATTCAGCATCCCTTGTCATGTCTAACCCATTGAAATCAAGATGGTTTGGGTGTTTTCTCAATCTGACTCTAAAAAAGGGTTTACCATATGATTCCCATGATCTCCTGTGTATGTACATGCATAGTATAGATCTGTTAACGCCTACCCTGCCTTCCCATCATACAGCACAGGCAAATATCCTGGACTATTATAAATATGCAGAAATGTGTTCATGATAATGATCTTACATACCTACATCCTTTGATGCCTCACCCAGCACCTGCCTGCTCTAATAATCCCACCCATTTCTAGTTTGCATTTCACCATTTATCTTGTTGAGTGCTTTGCAGGCCCTTGCAGCGGCAGAGGGACTAATGGATCATTATAGGCTGCACTCTACCATTCTGCATATCTTGCCTTGCCACTACCTCATCACATCCTTCTGTGCTTTCCCTGACAACCACTGTTCAAACCATCCCCCATTTATGCCATTGTATCTCAACCTTTTAATGTCTGCATCATTTTCATCTCCTCAGTATCCTTCGCAAAATCCATCCCATCACGGCCTTGTTAATCATACATTATATTTCTATGTAGACTATTTTCTTTTATAATTGTACAGGTGTTTAAATTTAGAAATAAAAGTGTGTGTATCTAAATATGTATGTGTGTTTGTATGTGTATTTTATATACAAATATATATACACTTACATATACATACACACACACATATATTAATATTAATATATGCATGTAACCTTGTAACAAATGTGTGATATATATGCCTACGGGTATATTTGCAAAATTAGCAATACATCCTAAATTAGTATTCAATTAGGTTTTTGCAAATCGCTATAATTTTCAGGGAAAAGGCTAGGCATTTTGTAATGCATTTTTTTCCAGCAGTTTTAGTTAGCTTTGCTTATCCTTTCAAATCAAATGACTACATGATTCTGTATTATGGTCCATTTTTTCATACTACCTTTATTCCATAATTTCTGGCATCATTAAATACCGACCCTCAGTACATCCTTATGTACTCTGCACCTATAACTGATGGTATTCAGGACTCTCATGTGACCCCACGTTTTATTCTATACGTTTTTGAAGCCCTCTGTGCACTTTGTCAGTGTCACTGTGCTGTAGAACTCTGTGGTACGGACTGGGTTAAACCAGCAATGTGCCATTTTCTGCCCGGGATATCTTTTGTCGGGGGTTAATGAAGCACTTTTGTATCCTGGTCAGTAAAAAGACTTCCAATATTTGTCTTCAGTAGAGTTTCCGCAGGCCTTGACTTTGCATGACAACGAAACCTATTTAACAATAGTTGGGAAAATAATTATTCAAACTGTATCTTTTAGTCATGGATTTACTAAGAATCATGGGAATTGTAGTTGAATACATTTTGGAGAGAAGCAGGTTGGTTATGCCCGTGTCAGGGTTATGCTTGCCCTCAAAAAAACTCAATTTCATCTTTGCTTTGATTGGATTAATTCCATTTGAAATATCAAATAATTTTTTTTCCCTTTGTGTCTGACCCCCTAAACACTAGGATTACCTAAGATGACCAAGTTTTGCCAGAAGCACTAAAGAGTCTCGTTTTAATTCATTGTTATAACTCAAGCAGTCTCTATTTTTCTGATCTCACAGAAATTCCCCCTCTGTAGTTATCTTTTAATAGCAGGTTGTGCCCTGTTATCTTTTTTCTTAAACACATTTATTTTTTAATCTCTTGCACTCATAGTCTAGCATTCCATTTGTTAGCGAGTCTATAAATTAGATGTGTTGTACACCAATTATGGCATACCATTGTGGATTCCATGGAAACATTCCATGCCTAATAAGTAAATATCCAAAGTGTTAAAATATATATACTTTATAACTCTTAAGATTCTTTATGAATTCCATTGAATTTCAGTGCAAATATATCCAAAGACGAATTAAGGGCTAACTACTATTAAGGATAAACAGATTTTGGCAAAATGTGTTAGAGAGAAGCTTCCACCTACTGCATTTTGCCGTTTCCCGATAAGGTCTATGGTATCGAATATCTATGGAGGATACTTTGGTCTCTTGGTATCTTCCTCAAACCCTTATATTTTGCTCTAACTCTTTGGTGCAGCATCTGGCAAATTAAGCTGACAGGAACTAAGCCAAAAGATGGTGGTGCCAAAGAGAGAGATCTTCTGATAAGTATAAATATCTTCTGCCTTCTCTTCTTGTGTACCACCATGGACACAGACATGACAACTTGGTGGTCTTTAAAAAAAAAAATACAAAGACCACTCAAGTAATAATGCTGCTGCTTGAGTTTACAAGGCTGTACAATGCTTGTAAACCAATTTTAACCTTTTTAGTGCCAGAGGTGATTTGAAATGCGTTGGACTCTCCTTTGGCACACAAATAAATTAAAGGGATGGTGACTGCTATGTTGGAAGGCCACGAGGTGCCAGGGAAAGTGAGGGATACTTACCTAAACTTGTCCATCACACAACCGCCATGTTCTTCTTGTCAGTCCTCTTCAGCTCCTGGGACTTCAGCTGCCTAGGGCCCATGTCAGTGTTGTAGCGAGAATACAACACTGAGGTGTATGGATCCCGCAAAACCAAGGGATTTTCCAAAGACACTAGTGGTGGCTGGGGAATTGACAAGGCTTGACAAAATGTAACTGCACCTTTTTGTCAAGCTTTAGGAAAAATACTAAGACAGAGTAGTCCCTAGTTTGTATTAGTATATCTTTTGACTGGGTTGGAAGTTCAATGAAATTACAATAAAGTCAGTGTGACTATTTCATAAAGATTTTATCTATGGTTATTGTCTTATCGTCTAAAATGTCTGAGAAAAATAACTATTTGTGTTTTCACACTTTTACATGACATTGTTGTGTAGCCCAGCTAACAGACTGCTATGCTATTTGAATGGATGGGCCCCTAATAGGTTTTATCCTAAATGTCCTCATCTTAATCATAGGGATATAATTGGGAGCACTCTAGTTCATTAAAGGAACACTCAAGGCTGGGATTGACCCTCATTTGTAACACAAAATGCAAATGAGTGCAGAATATCAAGCGCCAGAATTCAACATTAAAGGAGAATTGTTACTTCACAGAATTTTTCATATCCAGTTTACTGATCTCTTATATTTGGCAAATATGTTTTTATGAAATTTAAAAATAAAATTAAAATTAAATGAAGACAACACCACATCTAACCTGGAACTGGGTGCCTCCAGCTTTTGTTACAAATATCGCCCTTTTCTGCCATTGAACATGGTGGAAAAATAAATTATACAATGTATCTATTCCTTGTTCTCATTTGCATTGCGTGATGATGTTGCCTGTACTGAACTGGAATGGCAGTTCCACTTTGAGTTACACAAATCTGCAGCCATATACCCGGGATGCTGTAGATTCCCAGCTCTGCTTCCATGTCACTCAGACAACACATACTCTATCCTCAACTCTATCATTATTTTACCACTTAGCTCCCCCTTTTTAACAAGATGTACTAATATTCTACAAGCTGACTAGCTTTCTCAAAATGTTTATATTCTTACACGTCCTACCGGTGGATTTGAATGGGTTACAAGAACCCTCAATCAAACCTTATGAAACTTTATCTGAAAAGGCCCAACTTTATAAATAAAATCTACCAACCAAAACACCTGGTGCTTTGCACTTCTCAATGGCTATGGCTACTAGACTTGTGCACCCCCCAAAAATTAAATTTGTGCACCCCAGAAAAAAAAAATGGGGTTCAGTTGTACCCAGCTTTGTCTATATGGCGTTTTTGTTCAGATTAATTTCTCATTTAATTGTTTTAGTAAAACATTTGGTGGTGCAAATTGAAAATGGCATGAAAAATGTGCCTCTTCTGGTGCCAGGGATGGGGCTCTGAATCAAAATGTCTTGTTCAATTCCAATTTAGTTTGTTTAATGATCCGGCCATATGGGGATTCGGAATTGCGGAATTCAAACGAATCACCGGTCACCTAAAATTTGGATGAATTTGGTTTTGGTCTAAACCAAATGCACACGTCTAATGACTACAGCTTTGCATTGGTTTTCCATGCGGTTGATTGACTGACCTTAAAAACCCAATACTCTAACTAGAAGCCCTATCAGTTTATTCTCACTTGCTCCCATTCCTTCAAGATGTACCATGCACATACAAAGCCCTAAAAATGTGATTCATAATTCTCTCATGGTATCTGCTATCGGAGCCTGTAAATTAAGGGAACACTGTAGACACCATAATCCCTACAACAAATTGAAGTGATCATAATGCTTGGAGTCTATAGGCGCGGCGTCCTTCATCACGACTAACGGTTTAGTTGAGATTCTTGGTCCCCAGTAACCTGCAGCCCGGCCTCCAATGATTGCTTGGCAGAGCAATGCTTCTTCCTTGTGGCATGCCGGTTCATACCGAGGATTGGGGCCATGAATGGGAGCTAGCAGTCTGAAACCTGGTGTTAACAGGCATTGATTGACTGATGCTCTCAGCCAGTGAATGAGCATCTGTGCATAGGTGATATCCACTGAACTGATATTATGCAGTCCGGAACTGGGTTTCCCGGTGGTGCTGCTGGAGGTGGAGACACGCTTAAATGGGCTGAAGTAACCATGGTACCTGGAGTAACTCTTTCATGCCTCTATAATATACTGATCTCACGGTGAAACACTCTGAGCTACCTGTGGAACTCAGATTTCAGTATATCACTACCTTCAAGACACAATATGAACGTTCATG